TGCCAGTCTTCTCTATCCTATTTCCAGTGAGTAGTCTTCATTTTTTGATGTCTTTTGATCCCTCAGGGAGTAGGTTGCTCAACCATAGGTGGGATGATGAGGCGGGCTGTTTGGGAGAGGAGTCCCAATGGGGGGTTTTCTGATCCTCAACTGGAGACGAAAGTAGAAGTCCGATTAGCGGAGTCGATTTTTGGTCCAATTGCGCTTTTTGGATAGCACATTGTAGAATTGTACAGTCTTTACTAGATTCTTGTCGAGTTTGATTGCATCCAGCCTGGCCCTAACGAATACCCCTGGAGCCCTGGCCGAGATGCTATCTGTGTTTTTGAGGAGGCGTTGATCGTTAGCCTCCAATTTCCCCTACATCCTTTTATTCCTTTGGTGTTGAGGTACTATGGTGTCTCCTTAGGTCAGCTTCACCCCAATGCAATTCGGACTCTGGTAGGGCTGATCTACTTATGTAACCATTGCGACTTCCCTTTAAATCTAGATATCTTCTMTGGCTTGTATATTATGAAAAAAGTTCCTGATGTCCCTTTCTGTTTCTATCTCCCCTTCTGTAGCAGCTATAAGGTGTTAGCCGAGTTTCCCTCCAAGGTTAAGGACTGGAAGAGCAGGTATTTCTTCCTTTCTAAGAGTAGTCGCTGAAATATGAGTACTGTTTGGTAGAGTGAGTGTCAGAGTTTTAGTGAAGGGTTCAATGAAGAGCTACGAGTTGCGGTTCAAAATTTTGTCCGTTGGAAGGTTTCAGTAGAAACTCTTTTGGCCGAGCCCATGCTTATAGAGGCCAACCTGAGTCATATAGGTAGGTCAGTCTTTAAGTCCTTTACTTTTGCATTCAGTATTTTAATGAAATTTAGCTCGGCTAACCTTTCTTTCCCTTCTTTCAGATATGGCAAGTACGGAGTCGATGTTGGCAGCATCCAAGAAAAAGGCTACGAGGAAGAAGCGGAGGAATGAACGTCATTCATCAATGGAGGGTACCTCAGTCAGTGCCGAGGTGAGGTCATAGTCATTTGCTCCTCCTGTCATCGACCTCGAGGGAGGCGACAACCCAATGAATACCGAACATTATTCTACGGGTCTTGTCATCTCTCAACCTTAGGTCGGCCAAGAGGAACGTGAGGTCGGCTTGTACACCTCGGATATTCCTCGYTTCGTTCCTCACATCGATGTCTCTGTATTTGATCACATAACTGATCCCTACATAGCTCTTCGGATGGCGAGGGGCATGTTGCTTCCTGAGGATGTGCGGTATTAYCGCAGCTTGGACCCCAGTTGACGCTGAGACTCGATTGACTCATTGCATTGTTCAAGATTGTTTTCTTTTGAAGTCTCTATCTTTCGGTTCTATGATTCTTGTTCTGGTCATACCCTTCTTCCCTTTGGTAGGTGTCAACTGTTAGACAGTTGTATGCCCTTAGCTTCAATCAGAAATATGTACATTATGAATTTATTGTAAATGAATAAAGTACACATTTGATTCATGTTCCTGTGGTGTGTTTCTGTGTAATACCCTTAARCTGGACACTTAATGAGACTTGTGTTAGTTTAGAATGTTTACAGCCATTAGGTAAGTTTGGGGAGATTTATCCTGCCAAGGCTGACACTGGTGTGCTGCCAACTATTGGAGTGGCTTGTCTCAGCTACCAGGGTGAGACTTGAAGCACATGCAGTGTAGGATTAATAGAACCTTTGAACTGGACCAGATTTCCAGTATTGCCCTGGACCTTGGA